GTTAACGTCGTTATTTTCTCCCATCGGAGAACCACCTTCTTATATTAATGTGCTGCACCGTCGCCGCCTTGCGCCGGTACCGCTGCGCGCCGTGACCACTTACCGTCGTAACTTGAAACTCGATTATTTTGAGGCTATCCCACTTCTGACACCAAAATTATGTGAGATTTTGGTAGACCTCTTAATAAAAATCGAGAATAATGAATAGTTTGTTTTATTTTCACTGTTTAACACCTTTTTAATTAATTAATGCACTAAAGTCATCCACGCTTCCGTTCCTCGTTTCCAAAAATAAAAACCTTCTCCCCCCTCCCTCTCGCACCTCACGTCCTCCTTCTCATACACTTACGTTCCGTTTCACTCCATTCCCTTACGTTCCATTCCTACATATATATATATATATATATATATATATATATGAGATTTGACTTTTGATAGATTTTAATTAATTTATTTCCTTCAAAATTTTTGTCTTTAGTTTTTGTAAAATATCAGTGCATATAGTCTTCTATTCCGTTCACATGTTACGCCCTATTTTTTCTAGACTTTAAAAAAGATCATCCAGTATATAAATATATAAATTATCTGCACTCTGTATGTTATTCCATTGAATTTCATAAAGAGCAATATTGAAAGATATGCGCTTAGATACTCGTACAGATATCGTAGCGTATCTGCGTAGTGTAAGACTCGTTTTAGGCGTACAACAATTCTATCGTAAGAAATAAATTTCTCTAGTTTAAGATTCCGCTCTGAACCTTTATAAATGTATTATTTAATTCAATTTCGTTTATTTACGTTCATGAAAAATCAAAGCTAAATTTATTGCGGACAGATTAGTCGCACGAGAGAGCATAACGTCTCAGTGGTACGATCCTTCCACCCTGGGTAATCGAGCAACTTTTCGGACGAATACGACCCCCGCTGTTCTGGTGTTGAACAAACTGAGGTAAAAATTAACGATTTTCGTAATTTTTGCACTTTATTTAATACTAAAATCTTTTTCTTCATTTACAGAAATACTTTTGATTGATCAGTTAAATGCCTAAAATATAATGGATTGGTTTTAAAACGCTCTAGTCTTGACCAACATTTTGATTTTATTATGTATACAGTAAACATTATAATTATACGTAGGACACTCAATAAGTTTTGAGATATACAAAAAGTATTCTAGATACTATTAATATTTATTTTACATCTTGTCAAAATATTCTCCATCATGCTCTATACAAAGTTCCATTAGCCTAAACCAACTCCGAAAATACTTTTGCCAGTCTTGATGAGACAGTTCGGAAATCGCTTCTTCGTAGGCAGCCACGGATTCTTCGGCACTTGAAAAAAACTTGCGTTTTATTTATTTTTTTGACTCTTAGGACAAAAAGAAATCACAAGAAGCTAAGTCAGGGCTGTAGTGTAGAGTTTCAACACCAGATTCCTTAATAAATGCTTTTGTTCTAAGGGAGACATGTGAAGAGGCGTTATCGTAATGCAGCATGATTTCCCAAAGCCTGGTCTTTGGTTTTAAAAAACTAACGCTTCTATGGCTGATTCGTGGAAATTTTTAAAATCAATCGGGATAGGTAAACCTGCTTCTAACTTTGATCATTCAATATTCTCTGTTAATCAACTTAATACATACTTTTCTACTGCACCACAACTGCGTTCGTCAATTAAATCTACTACTATTGCCCATGTTAATTCTCTTCCAAAATTTTACAAAAGCTCTTTCAATTTTTCTCCCGTTACTGATGAGGATATAAAAAAGTCAATTTCTTCCATCAAGTCCGCCGCAGTAGGCTCTGATGATGTGAGCAGAATCATGATCAATCTCATCCTCGATTATGTCTTACCAGTACTTACCCACATAGTAAATTTTTCATTAGATACTGGGGTTTTCCCTTCACTATGGCGAAGTGCTTTTGTTCTCCCACTTCCAAAAATAAATAATCCTAGTTCTGTTTCTCACTTTCGTCCTATCTCTATTCTTCCTTTTTTATCAAAAGTACTTGAAGCTGTTGCTCACAGACAAATTTCTGACTACGTTTTTAAAAATAACTTTTTAAGTAGCTATCAATCAGGTTTCAGGCCAGGACATAGTACAACAACAGCCCTGCTTAAAGTTACGGAAGATTTACGTATAGGTATGGAGGAGTCAAAATTAACTGTGTTAGTTTTAATAGATTTCTCAAACGCTTTTAATGCTGTTGATCATGACATCCTTATACTATTATACATGATATTCTTACAATACTTTCTCACATTGGTTTCTCCTCATCAGCACGGGAATGGTTCGCATCCTATCTTCAGGGACGTCAGCAGGCTGTTCGCGTGGGTCCAGTTATTTCTGACTGGTGCACGCTGGTTGCTGGCGTTCCTCAAGGCGGAATTCTCTCACCTCTTTTGTTTTCAATTTTTATAAATCTCATTACATCTCACATTCGCTGCACGTACCATCTCTATGCCGATGACTTACAAATATATGCTCAGTCTGATGTTAACGATATCGAAGATGCGATCACTGAGCTAAACTCTGACCTCACTCGTATCTCTGATTGGTCTAGCAAATTCGGTATTACTGTTAACCCTACCAAGTGCCAGGCAATTATAGTTGGAAGTAGCCGTCGCTTATCTACATTGGATTTTAATTCACTGCCACCTGTAAATTTTAATAATGCTGTCATACCTTATTCAGCTACTGTGAAAAATCTAGGACTTATCATTGACAGCAGTCTGAGTTGGCGACCGCAAGTCACGGAAGTAAGCAAAAAAGTTATCAACACCTTGCGTTGTCTGTATCGACTCAAGAATTTTCTTCCAGTGAGAACAAAGGTAATGTTGGTTCAAACGCTCGTATTACCAATACTAGATTATGCAGATGTATGCTATGCTGATGCCTCTCAAGAACTTCTTAACAAACTGGATCATCTTCTCAATAATTGTATTCGCTTTATCTTTGGCTTACGTAAATTCGATCACGTCTCTTCATTCCGTTCTCAGCTCAAATGGCTGCCTCTTCCACTTCGTAGATCTTTTAGAATCCTTTCTATGCTATTCTCTATTTTACACGATCCGTCTGTCCCTGCATATCTGAAATGCAAATTTCAGTATCAGGGCGATTCTCACAACCGATGTCTTCGTTCCGCGGAAAATCTAACTCTTCATGTTCCTTTCTGTCGCACGGGCTTCTCTTACAATTCTTTCACTTCAAATGCAGTAAGACTCTGGAACATGTTACCCAGAAATATAAAAGAAGCAAAAACTAAACCTATCTTTAAACGTTTACTCTGGGAATATTACTTAATGAAGCAGTAGTAGTTTCGGATTATAATAAAAAATTTAAAAACCTCAGAAACTGTTATATTCTCAAGTATGTATAGTATAAAAATATCATATTTATTTATTGTGTATGTATTTATTGTGGGTATTTGTGTATATATATAAAATAATATTGTATGCATGTAAGTAGTAATGTAAATGTATATGTATGTGTATTGTTTATTATCATTATATTATAATTTTGTATTTTTTCCTTAAACCTTTAATTTTTTTTAATTATGAGTTTTGCACCCATCACTAGATTCTCTGCACAAACCAAAGGTAGACTGGTAGAGAATGCCTTTAGGCATTAAGTCCGCCGTTTTGTACATTTCTTTTATGTGTGCAAATAAAGCTTAAATAAATAAATAAAAATAAAAGCTTTGGATCATGCAACTGTAGTATACCATTCAGAGTTGACTGACCTAAAATTTTCCAGCATTGACGTAGACAATATGTTCGCTCCGCGAAAAAAAAACTGGCCACCATTTTTTTGCCGACGTTGCGAGGTCGTCTTTGCAGTTTTGTTCCATACCGATGATGCCTTTTATTTTCCGAATCATATTGATAGATCCATATCTCGTCACCAGTAACGATTCCTTAAGCACGCCTAGATGCCCCGTTTTCAAAACGTAGACGCATTTCATGGCACCAATCCACACGAGTCTGTATTTCGCTTTCGAAGATTAAACGAGGGATCCATCGACAACAAAGCTTCTTTACTCCAAGATTTTGATGTAGGATGGTATGAATGCTCCCCGAACTAATGCCTATGTTTTTTTTAAAATATTGAGCAATTAAAGTTATTGTGGAGTTCTATTTTAAATAAATTTGCTTTTTAGAAATTTTTATTTAGTTTTTAATGTTTGTAATAATGTGTTTTTAAAGTTTTATTCAGTTCCATTTTTAAATTTCGAGCATCTCAAAACTTATTGAGTACGTAGATCACGTATTGTTCACGTAACATTTTAAAGTGATTTAATGTAATTTCCGACAGAAATTATTTGTTACTTTTTAAGTTATAGTTATAGCATGTGGTTAAATAAGTGTGCTATATTAAAGTTACATCGCTTGAGTGTTTTTATACGGCGTAAATTTTATTGTTTTAAAACGTACTTAGGCTGGTACTAAGTTTTGTGTGGTTAGCGTTAGGTCCAGTGTGGCGGACCAAGCGTTATAGAACTCGAGTGGTCGCGACCAGGACGAAAGTCCCGTTACCTTGCACGCTCGATAAGAGCAGGCACTCAAACCTAATTTTTTTAAAGAATAATAGTGACGCTACTAACATTTTATTACATATTATTTTAATATATATTTAATATGTATTACAGGCAAGATTGATAAGGCTTTTGTGCGTGTTTTACCAAGTCCACTGCTGAACATCAAGGAATGGCATATGAATGTACATAGTATAAAATATGTTCACATAATATAAACATAAATACTCGATAGAAATAAATCAAGAATTTTTCTTAATATAATAAAGATTAAAAATAATACTCCTTGTAAAATCATTTTTAAGTGTAATGTTCCACTGGTTATAAAATATATGTTTTGGGAAGAACCAGCCTAAACCATACCCGGGGCTGTTTTATTCAAAAATGAACAATTCAAAATTATGTATTACGTTGTAAAATTAATAAAAAAATTTGAAAAGGTTTTATCATCATAGTTTTTAACAGGCCAGAAGACAGCGGCCAGTACAGATGTCGGGTAGACTTCATAAAATCTCCGACTAAGAATACAAGACTCAACCTCACAGTGCTTAGTAGGTACTTTTTGTGTCTTAATATTTCATAAATTTACCATTACCATATTATAATCTATTATTAGTTTCGTATATTTTAATATATGGTGCACGAATTATTATAATCCTAATAAATGTTATTTTAGTAGTAAGTCTGTCTCAAAACGCTTTATTAATTTAATGGTGAGATTTTTAACCATTATTATATTTAACAAAGAGTTGTAACTTGCCAGCATTTGTCCTTTCATCCGATTGCAATATAGTAGTCTTCAAGGCAACGTGAATAGTCTTTTGAGCTAAGTAAGTGCGCTTTACCGTCTTCGGCTGCATCGCCACTTACCATCGAATGGGACAGTAGTCAAGTACTGGTTTATAATAGGTAAAAAGAAACCTTTCCACCTTTGACTCATTATGAGATTATATTTTTAAATTTTATGTTATACTTTTGCTTTTAGTACAATTTTTTAAACAATGATTCCGAGTTAAAAAAAAAACCGAATGAAATTTGAGTTTTTTTAAAATATCTGTTATATTTTAGATGTCGTTACTTGGTTTTATTATAGGTTTGTACCCAAAATAAAATCAAAATAAAAAAAGGACCGTGTGGTTCCCGCTAAGTGCTTTATCAGAATCAGTATTGAAATCTATAGAAATTACTTAACTTTCAGAAAACTCGACCAATATAAATATAAATTAAAATTAAAAAAAAATCATTTGCAAATTGTATGTGGTTTTATTACCTGCAACGGCGTCTTTGGCAATACTTTTATTCCCCGCGCAATGCCAGAGGTATTAAAACCGCCTACGTTTTGCAAATGAATATTTCTTTAATTTTAATTTACAATGTTAAATTAAATTAAATTTATAATGTTCGTACAATGTTTCAAAAGCGAAAAAGTGACATCTAATATAAATATGGGGCTATTCTAAATCTCCTAATAAAATCCGTGCATTGAATATAATATTAGAATAAATAAATTTAGAGATAGAATTCTTCTGGAAAGAGGTTGGAAGGTCCCGGAGTGGTACGACAGCCTTAAGAATGAACAAAGTGCTTTCGAGAACCAATGACGTCCTCTCAGAAAAATCGGACGTCATGCAGCGATGGAGTGAATTTTATAGAGAAATGTATGCGTGTCATGATCTTAGTGAAGGATGCGGGGGTGACGCCGTGACTGGCACGCCAGACACGGACCTCTATGACACTGAGGTCATCAGCATGAAATAGATTGAACGTGCGATTCGAAGTTTGAAATGTGGTAAGGCTGCGGGACTAGACAGAGTTACTGCTGAAATGGTCAAGTACGGTGGGCTTCGCGTCTGGGACAGCTTCCATCTGCTGTGCAATTTGTGCTGACGGACGGCAGATGTCCCGGATGATTGGCGATCCGCGGTCATTGTGCCTTTATATAAAGGTAAAGGTTCACATTTTTACTGCGGGTGCTATCGGGGGGATCAGCTTGACCAGTTTAGCAAGTAAAGTTTACTCGAAGGTTTTGACACGTAGGATGCAAGAGAAATCGGAAAGATTCTTATGGGAGGCACAATGCGGATTTAGACCTAGAAGAGGATGCACGGATCAAATGTTTTGTCTCCGCATGATCACGGAGAAGCTTCTGAGTGTTAACCAGAGGATTTTCTGTGCTTTTGTGGATCTGGAGAAAGCATTTGATAAGGTTATAAGGAAGAAAATGTGGGAACTGTTGCCGGGATATGGTGTGGATGGTCGATTGTTAAGGGCTGTGCAGTCACTTTACTATGACTGTAAAGCCTATGTGCGGGTAGGGCATGTCCTGTCACCCATGTTTAGCGTCCAATCGGGCGTAAAAACAGGGTTGTGTCATGTCTTCCTGGCTGTTCATACTGTATCTCGACAGCTGTTTACAGAAGCTGAAAAATAGCTGTTTGGGTGTGAAATTGGGTGACATAAAAGTTAATTGTCTGCTGTATGCTGATGATGCCGTGCTTATTGCATCATCAGAAGCAGAACTGCAGGCATTAGTCACGTGTATGAAAGAGGAATGTGAAATTAAAGGTCTCCGTTTGAATGCTAATAAAACTAAGGTTCTGGTATTTGAAAAGGACGAAGAGAGAACGAAATGTGAAATATGGGTAAATCAGGAATGTCTAGAACAGGTAAATGAAATTGTATACTTGGGGAGTGCTTTCAGCCGGGATGGAAGATGTGATTTAGATGTGGATAGGCGTGTCGCTGCCGGAAACAAAGTCAATAGTGCCCTGAATGCATTAGTAAAAACGCAAGGCGTGGTGAAGAGTGCACGCCTTGCAATACATAACGCAGTGTTGGTACCGACTTTGTTATATGGCAGCGAAACCTGAGTATGCCAGGAGAAGCATAAAAGCAAGTTGAATCCAGTGGAGATGCGATCTCTCCGTAAAATGTGTGGCGTTACCATAGCCGACCGAAAGCGAAACGAAGATGTTCGCAATATGGCAGGATTGAAAGATGACCTTATCACAAAAATTGATAGGGGCGTAGTCCAATGGTTTGGGCACGTTGAACGAATGAGTGAAGACCGAATGGTGAAGAAAATATATAGAGCGAAAGTAAATATTAGTAGGTGTCGAGGTAGACCGAGACTAACTTTCGAAGACCATGTGAGCAAATTGCTCGAAGAGGGGAGGGAGGATACCTAGGCGTGCATGTATGAAGAAGTTAATAAACCTGAAAGAAGCGAAAGAGGTATGTAAGGATCGTGACACTTGGCGATCTGTTCTCTATGGCTACCCCGTTAGGGATTGTGCGTGAAGAAGTAAATTTAGAGATCGTCTAACTTAAATTAATTAAAAGATAAAAGAAGAGACAAAACATGGAATATTCTTACTTTAACAAACTGCCGTCACGGCACGGCAGTGAAAGGCTTCGCATGGCAGATAAATAATAAAAATGCTAAAATCTACTGAACCAGAATAAATGGGGTGAGCAGGGTTAGATTTTATGAACTTTATAATAATACAAAATAAGCGTGTATAGTTTTAAATTAGAAATTAAAATATATATATTATCATTCTTTATTTCAGAATTTTTTTTCCATAGAGTGGGTTAGTAATTACAAAAATAACTTATAAGCTAGGGTTAGTAAAAAATAAAATTTAAAAGGTTACATACTATATTACTATACACTGTCTACTTTATATTTACCAGAGCAGGTCTCGAGCCGATATGGACGCTGTTCCAGTGTCTCAAGATAGGACAGCAATAGCGACTCCCTATCGCTGCCAGGAGGCTGTTGGAGCTATCCTGGACACGGCGCCATGCGGAGGCAACCCGTTTGCGCATGATAGCTGGGAAACTGTCTATACGAGCCTTAGCAAACATTGCCGACGCGCTGCAGTACCGAGGCAGCCCCATCAGCATCCTGAAGCCGTTATTATATTGGACGCGCAGAGTTGTGAGCGGCCTCCGTGTATACTCAATCCATAGACTGCAGGTACTCTGAATACTCTCTCTCAACTCTGAATAGAGTTTTTTTAATTTCTACATTACACCCTGCAAATCTACGGGCGAGCATATTCGCTCTCATAGCTAGAGCTCTGCGTTCCCTCTCTATGTCAATATCATCTGACATATTTTTAGTAACCCAGTGTCCCAGGTATTTGAAATTTGTCACTCTTTTCAGTGGTATACCTTCAAGAGCGACAGTGGGAAAATTGAAGCTCTTATATTTTGATTTAAAAAATACGATCTCACTTTTCTTGACATTATGTCGTAGGCCATGAGCCGTTGCATACTTCTCACATATACTGAGTAGTTTTCTTAGACCACAAATTGATGGGCTCAGCAGCACCATATCGTCGGCGTAACTTAAGTTGTTATATGCAATATTATCAATAGAGCAGCCGACTCCACTACCACCGAGTTCGCCAATCAGACTATTCACGTAGAGGTTAAAAAGTGCAGGAGAAGATAGTCCGCCCTGTCTTACTCCGCACTGCAGCCCATACGCCTCAGATTGCACGCCTGCCCACCTCACCTGATTCTGTTGATTGTCGTACCAATACTGAAACAGACCTATTAAGTCATTAGGAAAGTCATTAGTTTCAGTAGCCAGCTTCTTCCAAAGCATATCGTATTTAACCGTATCAAAGGCCTTTGATAGGTCCAAAAAACAGCCTATAACAAGTGTTTTACGATTTGTGTAGTAACGTACGGGGTGCTTGAGACAAAGTACAGCACTTTCTGTGGATAACTGCGGTCTAAAACCAAATTGTGCATCACACAGATTAATGGATGCCTGTAACTTCCTCTCAAGCAGACCGTCCATCACTTTCGCTATAGTAGTAGCCAGGGAGATAGGTCTATAATTGTTTTTGTCCGACGAATCTCCCGTTTTATTTTTCAGTACTGGCACAACAATCGTTTTCATAAGATCAGAAGGTAAGTACGAGTGTCCTATGCAAAAAGTAAATAACATGGCCAGGACACGTGGAAGGTGGACACCAGCATATTGCAGGTGTTCGATACTGATACTGTCATGACCTGGAGATTTACCGCGTGTCATTTTTTTAATTACGTCTTTAACATGTTTAGCCGTAAAGCACGTGGTTTCATCTCCATCCCGGATACCTGTATCGAAATTCTGCGATGATTTTTGATTGGTACACTTAAAGTGATTTTTAAAAATATTTGCCACCTTGCTCGCATCACTTTCATCATCTATACTCGCAGGGACTCTCAGCCTTGGATTCATTTTGTTGGTTTGTTTCCAAAATTTAGAAAAGTTTTTGGTTTTAATATGTGTAGCCAAAATTTGCATTTTTATTTTTTGTTCGTTATTCTGACACCATTTTATTTTTGATTTAAACTGTTTTCTACTTTCTTTCATTTTTTCTTAATAAATTCCAATTTTAGATTTTCCATATGATACCCACATATGAAAGCAAATTCGCGCCTCACTGTGAAATGGTGTAACATATTTATACCAACCCAAAACATATTTATTTCTACATTTCCTATACTCATGAGTCGCTATTGCTGCCCCTCTCAAAGTACATATAATGCTGTCATACATTTTATCTATTATTAATTTATGTTCCAAAATAGAACAGTGGTGATTAGCACAAGACATAATTTCTTCAGGAAAATCCATATATCTAAGCTTTTAACAACAAATTCAAAATATTTTTTATTTGACTTTGATTTCTTACATCCCATACAGCTTTATTAGATTTAAGATTACATTCTTGTACTTTATAACTTATTTTTCCCATATCCAATAGTTATTTCAAGTGGAAAATGGTCAGATCAAAAAACATCATAAGGTACCCTAATATTTACAACAGATTTCATGGCTGACTTAGTTGTAATGCAATGATCCAGCCAGCGATGAGAACCATTTATATCACTTATATACGTAAACGTATCATATTTTTTTTAAATAGTCATAGCCCACTACATCCCATATTTGTTCAAAACAAAAATTACTCATTTAATTAAAAAACAATTCGCCAGGATGCGCATTAAAATCTCCTAATATAAATACAGAATCAATATTATTACATTCTATTATAGCATTTATTTCACTGAGACAGCTTGTAAATTCCTTAAATTGTCCCACGAGTCGCAGGGCATATATACGTTGATGAATAACGTAGTCCTGTCGTCCACAACAATTTTAATCGCGGCCAAATGCAATAAGTTACACTGCACAATAGACATTGATGTAAACAAAGATTCACGCCACATAATAGCAACACCACCGTACGGTCGACCTCTTAACAATCCATCACCGGTGTTAACCGCAGACTTACTGCAACAGACAAATTCTGGATGGATTCCCGCGATGTAGTCTGCATCATACGGTAATAGCCATGTCTCCTGAAATTCTATGATATCCGCAGATTTACATAGCTCTCGTATGACCTCGACTGATCTTGTGACTGATTGACAATTGAAGGATATAATTTTCAAATATTTACTATCCATTATTTAGGTGATACAAAATAATTACTTTGGTTTTTAACTGTTGTACAGTTTCTGAAGTTAATATATTTGCGAAATGATATTCCCTCAGGCCATATACTACTATCAAGAAATGTATCAATTTTGTATCTTGGCACATAAACCTTAAAAGCATTATATTCACGCTCATACTTTATTTTAATCTCTTCTAAAAATACTTTAACTTTTGTTCTCTTAAATATATAGTTTATTATATCATCCGCTGATATTTCTTTGTCAACATTATTGATAAATAATGGGATCTATATGTCGGCTGCTTTAAAATTATCTGTAGTATCTGTACTTGCTTTTTCTTTCATCCCTATAAACCTATTCTTCAATCTTCTTCTTTGCACAAGTGTCCATTCTTCGTCTGGTTTCAATATCTTCCGTTCACTTTCTTTAACCTTATCAACATAAGATCACTTGTTTACATTTGTAGATGTGAAAGTAATCGGGTCCCTAGCGAGCTCATTAACATGCGTAACTAGGTCCGAAACCGCAGTGCGAAGGCTGCTATCTGCTGTGCCGGCGTTACTGCTGGCGGGCAGCAGGTGACGCGCAATAGTAGGAGTGTGCGAAACCGCAGTATTAGCCTCCACGTATCCGCCTTGCTCTTGAGGTGGAGTAAGTGAGTTTGTTGTTGAGGTACCTGACTTAGCTGACTGTTAATATCGCAAAAATCTAACTCGACGCTATTTTTGGGGGATAATGTAATGTGTGGAAAGCCAATGGTACCACTATCACAGTGTGAATCTAACATATAGGCATCCCGTTTCGTGTTAATATTGGTGTATTCAAAATTATTAACAATAGATGTATTTTTCATATCTGCAACCTCTCGTTTCAGTTCATTATACTGCTTTATATCAATGTAGTTTTCTTTAATTTTTAACAAATCACTTTCTAAAATTAATAGCTTCTTTAGTAAGTTTGTCACGTCGATATGATCGAAGAAAATCGGTGGTAACTTATGAAGTTCACGAGCCACAAAAACTGGAACCTTTTCTGGATCCACATGCTTAATAAAACCGATGATGTCATCTATGTCACGCTTTGATTTGCCAGCTCCTTTTCTTGTCGTATTTTTCTGGGTCTTACTTGCACCGGAGTCGAACAATAACTTTTTCGCATATAATAATTCATCCTCAGGGAACGAGCTTCGGCATATAGCAGATAAGCTCCATAACATCCACTTTGTTTTGAATAAAAGCTAAAACTTCATTAATAACGATGTTACAGTTCGAGCACTTCACAGTTTTACTTGTCATTATTAAAACAAACACATTTATAACGCAAAAATATTTTACAAAATCTGCATATTTAAAATGTTAGTAAATCGACTAAATTAACCCACAATTATATCTTTATATTAATTTGATAAAATATTTATATAAAATTTTAGGACTTTGACTTTGACAGCGTTTTGACTGATATATATATATATACTATTATAAGATTAGGAAAGAAGATATAAGAATTTAATATTGGTTAAATATTTAGGTTCCACCAGATTGACTGATTATTATAAGTGAAGGCAATGACGAAGTGCACGGGAATATACTTGGACCTTATGACAAAGGAGCAGAGGTGAATTTAACCTGCATAGCTGTGGGAGGTGAGATTGATTGAATATTTTTTACTTTGCTTCTAATATTTTTAGTGCCTATGCGTTAATTCGTTATTTCTTTCAATCTGCTATTTTAAGTTGGTACTCTTTGAGAGCGTGGTCCTTCCCCGGTCGAGCCGATCAGTTAGTGCTAACATTATAGAGCTGCAACATGGCTTTATCACGTTTCATTGTAAAGTAAGGTTTTTTTCTAAATATATTTATATATCTGACAGTAAATTTATTCATGTAAATAAAAAGTATAATTTTCTATTATTAATTGATTATTCTTTTAAAGACATTTGTAAAATTTATTATAATAAAAGGAAATAAAATTATAGGTAAATAACATAAATACATAACATTTAACGACTGTCGACCAGAGGGGGGCAGGCAGCGACGTATCTATTTGCCACGATCCTGACGCACTTTTCTCGCTTGTTTTACATCCATATATACTTCTAGCATAAATGCTCGTCTGTTTAGCGTTCTCTTAATTTATTTCCTCTTTAATATACTGCTAATTTGGTCAATAAACTTCCGTTTAATGTTTTTAAAAGTGGTTAACATAATTGTTTATCGAAAGTTAAATCACCCACTTTGACACAACCTGTCCATCTATACTATATTCAGCAACTTCATTGATAATTAAATCAACATAATCAGTTACCTAACTTCTGATTCTAGTATTGCGATATTAGTGACACGCTCACTGCTCTCCTATTAATAACGTTACTTGGATATTTCCCACGATATATATTTCTCACATATATACAAATGTAAATTGTTTCAATAAGGAGCGTTGCTTCATAACCACAAATATATCATATTTAAGTTGAACATTACACATTCTAAAGGGATTGTTCACAAACGCTTTGGATATTTGAGTTCATGTTGAATGGATAATAGGATTTATTGCAGCCTTGTCTATTGTATCCTTGTATTGTATGTTATATATTGTAATCAGAGTAATTTACACTTTATGTGATGAAGACAAATGATAGCTTTGCTATCTGTCGCTAAGATTATTATATTTTAGTCGTTATTACTGTTGTACATTTCGGTCTCATTCTCTTTCCCTTTCCAGTAAAATTTTGTTCCGAGAATATATTTTTACTTATACAGATCTGTCTGGCTAAGGTTTTAAGTTTTCAAGTGAAATAGGAAATTTGAGATAATCCAAATTTTCCGACACACAGATCGTTCATGCCCTCGTATTTTCTTTAGTGAAAATTTTATTTCATAAAAGACTTCTTATTTTCAATGTAACTCAGAGTCTGGCTGCTTCGACTTGTAAAACTAACTCTGAGCTCGATTTCTTGCGGAAGCATCGAATATTTATTGATATTATATTTGTGATGTGATGATCCTTTATTTTTTTTTTTTGATGTATTATATATTCAAAGTATAGAGCGAGCTATGGAGAAGGCTGTGCTTGGAGTTTATTTGCATGATATACTCTTTTTTTCAGTTTTTGATGAACATGAATTATAGCGTAGAGTTCATTACGACCAAGGTTGTTTCATTACGGCCCATTTTGAAAATGTACCTAACATACAATAGCTTACTACTGGTGGGTAAAAAAGATCAACTCATTCTATTGTGCGCACGTTGAAGGATATTCGTTAGTCATAATTTAAATTCATTTACGTGTTATGTAACTGAATATTTGAAACTTGTGATATCACTAGAGGTTGGTCATTAATGTTTTTCATGTCAATGTAATATATTAGTTTTTATTCGGTAAATAAAACGTTGGAAGATTTGCTTTTTCAACAGGTATTAAAGCATTTTGTTTTATCGTTTTCTCCAATATTAGTAACATATATCAAACGTTTCCGTTTTGCTTACCTCGATAGGAAATAATAATATCCTCTCAAAATCAATATCGGTCGCCGTTTGGATTTTTTAAATGTTTCTTTATTATTCATTATTTTATTTTTTGTTTCTTTTTGTAGCACGAATGGGTCGGCTCGATCGGAGAAGGACCACGCTCTTACAAAATACCAGCGTAAAATAGCAGCTCTATGCCACTGTGTTTCGTATGGTGAGTGTAGAGAACCGGTGATCCTTTTTACAGGAAACGTGGCATTACATCTTAGTCCTCAGGGGCGGCAACGCATCTGCATTTTATATAAAGATGTCTATGGGCCACAGCATTCACTTAACATCAGGTGAACTGTGTGCTCGTTTATCACCCTTATTCTATAAAAAAGGATTTCGAAGTTATTTATTGTTTCGTCATGTCCGTCCCTTCATTCAAGGTTTTACTCAAAGATCCTAGGTATTACAAAGCTGTAATTTGGTTTGGTATAGTCCTAGATATAAACCACGCCTACAAAGTTGTAAAATAAAATCTTGGAAAACATTTTTATTTTGGATACTTCCCATACATGTGATTTTTTTACCCGTATATTCTATCACGTGGAGTGACGTTTTATAGGTCTTTCAACTGGGGGTATGGAATAAAATATTTTTGATTCAGTCCGTTTGCGAAATATTTAACTATAAAATGGAATTTTTATTAGAGTTATGTGTCCCAACCCCCTATTAACTAAACCGTTGTTTTCGGAAATGTGAAAAGTATACACAATAGTAGATGTATTACTTTAGTGTATACTTCAAAAAGTGAAAAAATGTTCTCGAGTGGCAGCCTCGTACCGGTAGGCGTAGTGTAAGGCGACCCCCACGAAATGGAATCACGACCTGGTAAGACATACAGGAAGTCGATGGATACAGGTGGCTCAGGGCCCTGCTTTTGTGACATACCTTGGGGTAGGCCTATATTCAGCAGTGGACTTGTGAAGGGCTGTAATGATGATGATGATGATACTTCAAATAAGGGGGTTAAAAGGAAAAAAATTACAGCTAAGTTGACTTAACAAGTTAACTAGTAATGGTCGACAAACTTATAAAATGCACTAGAATTAAGTAAACATTTTGTTACAATTCCATAGAAAATGTACTAAAATTTGCTGTATTATAAGTTTGTCATTATGTTGTAAAAAATTTTGCAATACTACTATAGTTTTACATTTTCATTTGCTGGGGTAGGCAGAGAGCATCGATCACCAAGAGATCGATCCTGACATACCACATTACATTATTTTTAGTTTGTAGTTATTATGGGACTACGGTTTTGTTAGGTACTCTTAATTTACGCGGGCGTCCCTCAGGATAGTTTGGGACAAAGGTGGTTTAGGGGAAGGTTTTTTTACTTCGTTACGTGAAGTACATTGTTCACGTATTATGACGGGCAATTACGGTACCCTACATTATCTTGTTCCGACACGCACTTCGCCGGTTTATTACCTTATATCATCAAGTACATTAGATTATGTTTAACGTAAAAATAACAATTGGACCCTTACATTACTAGAGTAACTAGCAAGCCCAATAGATCAGAAGGCTGAAGTGGTAGTGAGCCGACCACAAAGTTCGAAGAACTGAGAATCTATCAATAAGAAAGATTCTTGAGTGGCAGACCCGTACCGATTCTAACTAGATGACCTGGTGAAATATACAGAGAATCTTTTATATTAGTCTCTAAACTATTCTGTAGAGAAGGCATACCTTTAATAGTGGATTTTATAATTAATTTTAATTATAAGGAGAACAAATCGCTAAAATATGTTCTATTATCGACTTTTCTTACAGTGTATGGGTATAGTGATATTAATAAAAATTCGACTTTTATAAACAGGTCGTCCGATAGCAAGGGTGTCATGGTGGAAGTCACATGCTTTACTAGCCAATTCAGAAGCAAGAGCTACAGTCTCATTTAAACTTCACAGGCCTGACTTCGGTACCGACATCACATGTCAGGTAAAATAATGAATCCATCTAAATAATCTACCAATAATTATAACTGCCATGTAGAATTAGAATGGGAGAAACCATCAGCTCATTTTGTCCCTTGTGTGTCCTGAGAGGTGACGAAGGGGTATGCTATAATAATTTTATAAGGTTTTATTTTTCCTGTTTATTGTTTTTTATTTACAGTATTTTATAAAATCTTCATTAGGATATTAAATTTAAAATTGCAACTGAATATTTTAACTCTAAATGAACATTTTATTGATGAGTTTGTATGTACTCGTAATTTAATGTGTATCCGCCTTTATTCAATTCGATATAATTTTTAAATCTAAATTCTACGTTTTGCAATATTGTAATTGTATAGAAAATAAATAACTAAAAAGTTTTTTATTTTGCAGGCAGTTACGGATCCATCAATACCACCGTTATCTAACAGACTTTCGATTGATATGAATTGTAAGTCGTTTCCATTTTATACACCAATTTGCGTTAGCAGTTATACAAGATATTACATTCTTCAGGTTTCGTAAGCTTGACTTCAAAATATCAGAGATGCTCTGAAAGATGTTATGCTCCTGGAAATATGTAAAAGATGAAATAATTGCAGTGTTTTACTACAATATATGAAAATACTCTTGGTAATAATTAATCGCATTTCTAAGTTTTGATATGATTTTTTGGAAACTATATCTTCTTCAATACAATTTTTCAATTCTCACATTGAAACTGAATGTATATCGTTGTCTCTAAAAACGGAAATTAAAAAAATGCTTTAAAAACAAAAACAGCAAGAGTATTGTACTATGCGATATCTCGAAATATTTTCATTTTTTCCTAACGCAGTAGCCCAACTAGGAGGGATTTCAAAGAAATATTTCCTACTAAAATCTCGAAGCAACGCGATGTGTAGCAAAAAAAATAGGGTGTTAGATTTGCTATAAAGATCTAAGACTGAAAAACGAACACACAGTTTAGCAGATACATATACAGTACAGAGCACATATTAGCGCTATGCTGCTATTTAGTACGAGCGTGATCCTTCCCCAATCTATAATCGAGACAATTTATTCATGCTGCAGCACAGTACGCTGTAGCGTGACTCTGTAACGTTTATTTTAGTATCGGTTGGTAATTAATTACTTATTGCGCATTATCCAATAAAAGCTATTTACAATATATTGAACCATTCACATGGTAGGTAATTTATTAGTCATTATATATCTGCAGTACCTCCGCTTTCGGTGCGAATACAAGGCGGGAAGCGACCTTTAGTGGCTGGTCAAAGTACGGAATTACCATGTCAAGTAGTGGGGGCCAGGCCGAAACCTGTTATACCTTGGTGGAAAGGAGGAACCAAGTTAACTACTGTAAGGGATTCTGTAAGTATAAAAAATAATTTTTATCTATTATTTTAGGTATAAATGTGATTGTTACTGGCAATCCACAATATGGTGCTAGTGTTTACCTGAACGTAACTATGGTAGTAAATAGTTGGGTGTGATAGAAGAGGCACAGGAGTAGAATTAATTCTGTAGTAATTCGGTCATTAGGGGGTATGTGAGGAGTGACTTTGTATGACATAGTGAGAACTAGTGTGATGAGAGAAAAGTGTGGTTTGCAAGATGTTGTGTTCAGGATTAAGAAATAATGCTTCGGCGATTTGGTCATATAGAAAGAGTGATAAAATGATATTATGTTGTAGAAGCGATTGGCCGAGTAGGCGAGGGGCGCCTAAGTTGGAAGTATACCGACCATATTGGCGAAATATTTAATAAGCTCTAACAAATGGTAGATTCACGTCTAAGTTCTTGCTGTAAATTTCACAGTACGCGAGCAACCTGCGTCCGTTTTCCATCGTCACCAATTAAATTGTTAATTACAATTTTAAGTGATGATTTACCATGTGCTCGGCGCAAAGGAAAACATCGTAAAGAAACCTGAATGTCTGAGAAACAAGAAACAAACATTTCGAAGACATGTGAAGTTCGCCAATACGCATTGGGGCAACGCGGCGGGTATTACCTTGCCGTGAAACCCTTTCAGAAACTCATATATACTCATTAACAGAACTCGTATAAGCTGTAACTTTAACTTTTAACTTTAAGATAGGCCAAATAGGAGTTAAGTGATCCCTTAACCGACGAATATGTATACGTAGAAATAAGTACCAAGCTATTTCTAATTTGTTTTGTGTTGATTAATTGGGTAACATACATAATTGTAAGCTGTTTTTTTTAAAGTCCCGCAGGGTTTCTTGCCGGTTCATCCCAGAACAGAAGTTTTTTTTTCGAATCAGTGGTAATTAAACAAAAGAGTGAATTTCAATAAGTATTATTTATATTTGAATTAAAAAATTAAATTGAATAGAAAATGTTTCTATTCCTATTTCTGTACGTAAAAGAGGCAAGAGGAGAGGTGTGTCAGGATCCTGCCAAATGAAAATATTTATAAACAATTTGTGCTATTTGTGCATGAACTGTTCTATATTTATCATTTACATTGTAATGACAGCGTATCCCAAGTCCACCGCTCGACATTCTCCCACAAGGAATGCCACAAAACAAGGTCCTGAGCTACCTGCTGCTATTGACTTCCTGCGTGTTTTTTTTACATTTATTTAGCAAAAGATATGACTTTATCCATGTCGACCATCTTGTTTTGTATCTTTATTGTTGTTTGAACAGCACATGTTTAAATTCGTCAAAACGAAAAAATATTGTGAAAGATAATAATTTTTTTCTTTGTAAGCTAGTTTGTGCTTTATTTGGAGTAACGCCAAATGCGTAATGGGCTGGAGTTCGATTCGTGATAGTAAATGCCACAGATTCAACTACCGTCGTAAACCGCAACTACTATAAGCTTTTAAGCTTAGTTGGAGTGGTTAACAGAATTGTGAGATATATTTGAGTATTTTCAGCTATTATAGTAATTGTTGATCACATATATTAAGTGTCTTTGAAGACTCAAAAGGCTCAGTATATAAGCGTTGTATGCTATTAAAATATTTAATATAAATATATAAATTACCCATTATAGCTTATCACATGTCTATTGTTGAACTTAGATTGAGTCGTAGGGAGGTCATTGTTATAGAAGCCACATTTAGCATACAGGTTTACAACTTAGAATTACAAAAAAAATATAGATACGTCGTACTCGCTCCAGAATGGCAATACGAAAGTAAGGTAATTGCCCGACTCTCATTCAGTCGGGCACGCTCTCGCGTCACTTTGCTACAGAGCGTAAATCTTCCAGTTATTCGTGACAAAAATACCTCCCTGTATTTTTTGGTGGTGCACAAATTATACGGCAAGTGTTAGAGACAAGATAAACGTCTCATATCGTTCATTACACACACATACATATATATATATATATATATATATATATATATATATATATATATATATATATATATTATAGTATTTTTTTAGTTAAAAAATTTGAAGTAATTTCGTTTGACTATTGTCCCTATTCTCCTCCTTATCGGTAGGTAAGTCACGCGCTCGCGCCAATGAGCGCTTAGCAGCAATCAATGGGTAACTAATAATGTATATTTATCTTTTTTATAACAATAGGTAGGTTTCTAACAATAGGTAGGTCATTTGTCAACAAACATCATTTCTCTCTTTTTGTTAGCACAAGGTGTCCTAATAAATAACTGTGGCCGTGGAAGGAAAAGGGGAGATCTCCCGCCGGGCAAGGTGTTCTGCCCGGGGAGCGGCCAACACTCCGTGTGATAGTTCGGAGATGTTCTATATATGCTGTTTATGATTCGGAATGTTGATAGCGTGATTTAAGCTTCGGTGTGATTCGCTTGCGGCGCGACGACAGCGCCGCCACATAACTACATATACGTAGATATAGTACCTACTACTTACGGCACTTTAAAATACAATAATGTTAGTGTGCAACCTGTCTATTCTTAATACGTCTTTGTTAACAAAACAATAATTTCATCATTATTTAACAGACTTCGATGGATGGAAATATCACCATGAGCGTTCTAACTTTTGTGCCAGCGATAGAAGACGCAGGGAGAGTTTTATCATGCAGGGCAGCTCAACCAAAAATATCGTACACTACTCGAGAAGATGGCTGGAAAATGGAGATACAGCGTAAATATCTCAACAAATTCATCTTAAGATTTTTCTTATATTAATGTTTATAAGCCATTGCTTTTATTCGTTGATATACGCAAGCTAAACTGTGTTCGGGTTAATTTTAATTACCTGATAAAAGTTATGCATACGATAGAATAAAAAATTAACAAATACAAACACAAAAGTTGTACAAATAAAAAAGTTTGATTGCACTTTTATATCCAATTAGAATATAATTTAGCTAAGTTGTAAATTTTATATGATGACTGAAAAATTATCCATTAAAATACTAAACATTTTTAGTGAAAAGTATGTTTTCTTATAAAATTAGGTCAACAAACGAGTACACAGTTCACCTGATGGGAAGTGGATGCTGTGGGCCGTAGATATTTATATCTATCATCGGTTAAGAATCAAAATGCCTTGTCACCCCTGTGGACTAAGACGGATTGCCTCGTTTTCAGTAAAAAGGGTTCAGTACCGCCTCACTTACCGTATGAAACAGAATTAAGCTGCTATTTTACCCCGGTATTCTGTGAGGGCGCGGTCCTTCCCGGGTTGAGCCGACCCATACGTGCTATAACTATAATTAATGCAGTGAGATGCTGTGTTGCTTGTATTTTATTAAATATACTTTACATACATGTGTTTAAAACGAATAGATATTTACTTTAACAAACCTTATCGTAATTTATTATATAATTCGAACAAAACATTTCGTTAATACGTGAGCAAAACCAGTACTAACGCTTTAACGCACAGTAAGAAGTCGCTAGACGGGTCTTTTTCTTTTTTTTGTGTGCTTGATTTTTCATGATAAGTTTAAGTTAATAAATATATAAATTTTTTATTCTAAATAACGATCCCATGACGTCACGTCCCGTCGATGTGTAATCGAACTTTAAATGGTAGTGGTTGTTTATAATGAAGCAACAAAATGAACACAATGACGAGATAGAAATATTCAGCGATAAGGCGTCAGGACTCATGACTTTATCGCCAGGAATAATAGAAAATTGTTAGTTAATATTTCCAAATTAAGACATATTTTCTTCTAATTACTTATATATACTTTTATACGTGGTAGAGCCATGCTGCAGTTATTTAGTAGCATAGTTGTAGCACGAATGGGTCGCTCGACCGGGGGAAGGACCACGCTCTCACAGAATACCAGCGTCATATAGTAGCTTAATGCTGATGTGTTTCGTATGGTGAGTGTAGAGAACCGGAGACCCCTTTTTAATGGAAACGAGGCATTCCATCTTAGTCCTCACGGGTGACAACGCATCTGCATTTTGATTCGTAATCGAGGATAGACGTAGATGTCCATGGGCCACAGCAACCACTTACCATCAGGTGGACTGTGTGCTAGTTTGTCACCCTATCCTATAAAAAAATATTTCTTCATTGATTCTCTCTGGTTTTTGTTTCAACTATCGTTTAACATAATACGAAATACCTGTTATATATGCTATATATAACTTTATAATCGAAAAAAAAATATGTGTAATTAAAATATGTGGGTAGATAATATTACCGACAAATTCAGAATAATATTTACAGATTTACCCGTCGTTACGTTGAACTTGGGTGCGAACTTAGATGCCGATAAAGTAGTGGAAGGATCTGATATCTACTTGGATTGTAGAGTTCGTGCAAACCCTTGGTACAGCAATGTTCACTTCACTCATAATGTAAGTATTCAAAATTCGTATTATTTATACTCATCATTACAGCCTACCAAAATCAGAAAATAGGTCACCTCCGTAGCCTTAAAGCCATAATTGATAGGCGGGATGACAACCGCATTTACTAAATCTAATAGTCGATCTTAAATAAAATTTGGCAATGTTTTTTATGTGAGACTAAAGATTATAAAATCAATGTTATCTTATTGAAGCCCTAGCATTAGTATTGAGTAGGGCACAATTTAGAAATGAGTTTGTATGAGTGGCCTCTTTTTTACACTGAACCAGTAGAATATTATCCCTTTACAAAAGGCGTCTTAAAGACCGACGAGACATTTGAAGTAATATGTGTGATTAATGTAATACTTATGGCAAAGCATTAAAGGAGTGTTACATTTTTATGACGCGTTACAGAAGAGTCGTGGTAGCTCAGATGGTTAACGTTCGCTGTAAATATAATAGAACGAGTAACCGGGGTTCGATCCCCACCGGCACCAATGAAATTGTCAATTGCAATTTTAAGTGCTGATTTACCACGTGCTCGGCGGTGAAGGAAAACATCGTGAGGAAACCTGCATGTCTGAGGAATAAGGAAAAAAATATTTCGAAGACATGTGAAGTTCGCCAACACGCATTGGGGCAGCGCGGCGGATACTTCCTTGCCCTAAAACCCTCTCAGAAATGAGGGGGAGGCCTGTGCCCAGCAGTGGGACGTATATAGGCTGTAACTTTACTTTACATTTTTATGTGGGCGATTTGTTCGAAAATACATTATATTAGTAAAAACTAATAAAATATAAAATTAATTGTAAAATATATTTTGAATAAAACTATTATTTACGGATTTTATCGCGTTTAATTACTTTAATTATTTTTATTATTATCCCGACGTTTCGGGTGCTTTACAGCGCCCATGGTCACGGGGGGGACTGAGATGTTTGACGTCCCAATGTCATAGTTAGTCCGGCTACCTTCAGTTTTTTAATATTAATTTTTGGTCCGATTTACGCAAAACGAGCTTATAGTATCATGAAGTCTTGCAGTGGTATGCTTGGGTTTGGGTTTAATTTTGTTAATTATAGGATCCCAAGCAGATGGTAGCACCCAACCATCTTCTCTATCGAAATTTGGATGTTTTTTAATTTCAATAGCCTCGCGTATCATCCTTGGTAGGAATCGGTGTTCTTTTGCGAGAATTTGTGGTTTATCAAATCTGATGTAATGGTGGGGACGATCTTGAACATGTTCGCAGACTGCGGACTTCCCGGAGCGTCGGTGCTTCACATCAGCTATATGTTCCTTCACGCGGGTTTTTATAGATCTCTTTGTTTGACCTATGTAAGAGAGACCACTAGAGAGTCTTTTGCCGCCTCTTACAAAACCCACGGGGTTTTGTAAGAGGCGGCAAAGGACAACAGGCCCGGAGATCGACAGCAACTTCTAATAACAACTAGAAAATAAATAAATTAACAGTAAAAAATATTTTTAAAAACAAGGTTTTGTTTAAATGCTCTACACCACCGCTAATGTGCCGATAACAATGCTATGCCGTCACCCTGTCTTACGAGTACACCTCTCTGCAGTTGCATAAGTTCCTCTCTGTCCTTCTGTACTCGGATATCCATCGTATCTGAAATGTACAAACACTTCAGCACTTTGATATACCGGTAGTCCACTTGGCAACACTGAATTGACTGTAGAACTGCCCAACGACGAAACGAAATCAAAGGCTTTCTTATAGTCTACATATGCGAGGTGAAGTGGCAGATTATACTCTTCGGTCTTCAGCACAAATTGCCGAAGGTTATGTTTTTGGTCTATGGTACTAAAGTATTTTCGGCAACCGGCTTTTTTGAAGCACTTCAATACCGGTTTTCCTACCGCTTTCTTTTTTTGCTTTGTTGTAATTCTATATTCGCCGGGGACCTTGCCGTTTTTAAGGTGATGGAGAGCCATTCTAATTTCACACTGACGTCCGGGATATCATCAGAATAGTGTCGGATAAGACTTGCTCTTGAATCGTTTCTCATACTTGCATTTGGATCCAACGATGTGAACGTGTACAGCTGCTCGTAGAAGCTTTTAATCTCACTCAAAATTTTAGGTTTTCCTGAAATGATGCTACCACATTAGGTCTTCAGCTTCGAAAGTTGTTTTTTTCTGGCAGACAGATCTCTGGCAAATACTTTAGAGCCTTGATTCTACTCGATCGCTTCTTCAATACGAGCTATGTTAAATTTGCGTAAGTCCCGCCACATGCATTTGGAGATCTATCTGTTTAGTTGTCTGTGTGTTGTCAAATCTGCTTAAGACTGCAGCTTCATTTCCCGTCGAACAGCCATGAGAATAAGAGTGTGATTTGAGCGTTTTTTGATTCTTCTGCTACGGGTCATGCAAATCTTCAATCTGACCGTATAGACAGTTCCCAGGAGCCTGTCATTCATGTCGTCCACTATATTACAGTCTACTAAGCACTGAAAACGATTTTGTACTTGAGCTGAAAGTTTTCGAGGCTTTAAATGAGAGCACGAGTGGGACAGAGCATCGACTTCATTACACGTGACCTCTACAATTTAACGTTTAGGTTCAGTGTGCCTCTCACCATTGGATGATAGCTGCCAGTTTTTACCGTCGTGATCACTGAGATATCACTGAACAGTTGCCATCTAGTCGTTATATTGAAGTCATTGTTATTTTTTGTCGAACCGTCGGAGCTCGACCAGGTCAACTTCATGTAGGGCCGTTTCTGGAAGAAAGTGTTCATCATAAAGACTCCATCTTTCTCCATGAAATCAGCCAGCTGCTAGCTCCTAGGGTTCCCCTAACGTTGCCCTATCGTGTAATCCTATTCCTATATTATATACCTTCAGCTCACCGTTCTCTCTTTTCGTTCCCTAGTTTTACGTTGAAATCTCTCATTAACACTGTATAGTGGGTTTTGGAGGAATGCATGGCTCTAGAGATATCCTCATACATTTCTTCTACCTCATCATCGAGATATGCTGCGATTGGTGCGTAAACCTGTATGACCTTTACCGAATACCGTTTGGTGAGTCTGAGTATAAAGTACGCAATCCTCACCGACACACTCCCAGTGTTTACATCGTTGTTAACGAGAGACTTTTGAATGATAAATCCGACACTTCCTTGGGACAGATTGCTATCCTCGCGGCGATAGAACAAGTTGCCGGATTCGAAGATTATCGTGTCCTCCCCCCTCTTCTTTAAACCTCGGTTTCTTGAAACCTCAGATAATCCTTTAATATCCAATCGCAACTTGTCTACCTCTTCTTTATTCTCCAGGATCTACTCGTCAGCCCTCAGTGTGCGTGCGTTATATGTCCATCATCATATCAACTATTTGTCATAATAATATTGTATTGTCACATAGGACGTCCGCCATATTGGAGTAAGAATGACGTCACTTTACCTATTGTTTTTCGCCTTTTTTATTTGATACCTATATCATAGGGGTCACTATGTAAATTATGAATCGCCATTTTGTTTCTTCCGCCATATTGGATTTTGAATGATGTGACTTTACCTAATACGTTTTGCTTATCAACCCCTTCATTTGATACCCATATGATAGGGGTTACTATGGAAATTATAAATCGCCATTTTATGACATCCGCTATATTGAATTTTTAATATTGTCACTTTAATTTTTGTATTTCTCTCATCAAGCCCTTTTATTTAATACCAAATACCATAGGAGTTGCTGTAGAAATGATAAATCGCTATTTTGTAACGTCCACCATATAAGATTAAAAATGGCGCCATTTAAGTTATCGTGAATTGTCAGTGAAAGTAGGTGAAATATTGATTTCAAAAATTCTAGGACATATTATATACAATTGAAGTTAAAAAAAAGCTTTTAATAATAAAAAATAAAAACTGGGGTTGACAACCCGACTGCCATGTATGGTAACTATGGCAAACATTCCCCTTACGAGGGCAAACAATGGCGAATCCTTTTTTTTATCGAGGGGAAATCCTCATGAATACCTTCTGCTGCGGGGGCAACAGAAAGATTATGCCCGACTCCTTCCAGCCAAGGCCCCACGATGGTCACCACCAGCGTATATATGAGGGGTCCCGGGATCTCCGTACGGAACGCAACCGGGGAACGCAACCTTTCTCGCTTTACTATATGGTAGTTCTTTCTGCCCCCAGCACCCTCGTAGTGTTATCAAGATGTCTCGGCACCACTTAAGAGTCGTCGTCCTCCTCAGGGGTTACATCTCTAGGCATTCGGAGCCTCAAACCCAAACGTCTGCAACCCCAGAGGTCCCGTTTTTGGTAGGGAAACCGTTTTTGGTAGGGAGTCCTATGTTCTGCATTGTTTTTTGATAAGCTCTAATGAATGAATAAATTGATGTACAAGGTATCCGTACAGCTCGAAATTCAATCCGCGCATGTTGAATCCAACAAAGACTTTTTTCAACAGGGTATTACAGTGAAGTCGGGCCCTGGAGTACTACTCGCAAATCAAACTTTAGTTTTACAACACGTGTCGAGACAAGCGGCTGGTGCCTATGTTTGTTCTGCAACAAATACCTTGGGCGATGGATTAAGTTCACCCTTAATTTTGGATGTAAAATGTAAGTATACTTGATTTTATATCAATTTACAAGAAAACATTTCTTTTTAAACGAATATTGTGTGAGAAATAAAATGTTAATATCTTTTTTTCATCATTAGAATCATGTATGATTTGAATAGTGTTGTGAGTTGCAACGCCAGATATTCCATGGTCTAATCGAGAGACCAAAATGCCAAAAAGATATGAATTTTTTTGACATATATTTTACCAGGCCATGAGGCCTTTAGTAACAGATAATAGAATCACTATATCGTAAACGCTAGAATTTAAGAGAAAACTTTTAATGAAAGGAAAAGCTGACTACACGGGACTAAAAGTAATAAAATAATTAACACATTATAGCTTTTGAAGCCGGTGTTATGACATAGTGTAGATAATAATTAAAGCCTTACATTACAAAAAAGAAGTTGAATAACTCCTTTTTTGTACGCATTACGAACGACGAAGTAAATAATTTCGTTCAAAAGTTTAGTACCGAGTAAAATGGAGTGAATAGAAACCACGGGTGAATAGAAACAAGTCTGGTTATTCGATTAAGTTGTTTTTAAGTTTTTCTACATATCGGGAACGTGTGTTTATTTCTACTGTTTATTATATGCTAACATTATTCCTTTATATTGGCAATCTTGCAAAACCTAGAGAAAACTTTATCAAATAACCAGACTTCTTTCTTCCACCCCGCGGTTTTTATTCACCCCATTTTACGTCCGTAGTGTATGTCAAGAAAGGGGTAGAGCCCGTCTGAATGTCTGGATCCACGATGGTTGAAGAGACAGGAAGGAAGTAAATTCATGTAATTCCTACGCTTACTGTCCGAAATGTATACCTGTAGAAAACTGAGAGGTTTGGTAGCCACCCTGCGCCTATGCTCGAGGTTGCCAAGCTTGATTTTAACCAAATCAAGGTCATCGATAAGTCTCTTAGCGTGTCTTTTCATCCAAAAATACTAAGTGGCTTTTTGAAACACCAGCCCATTTAGTGGCAGCAGTACAAATTTCTCAACGTACGACCGGATTTGGGTTTTGTATAATGTTTGTATGATTGAATTTGAATAAATTAAATTATTTAGTCAAGGTTTACGTTGACTGAAATATATAGACGTTATAAATTTTGTAATGTACAGATGCTCCAACTTGTAAATCGGAACAACCGATCAATATCAGGGCAGCGAGAGGGGAAGTTGTCGAGATTGAGTGCATCGTAGATGCTAATCCTAAAGTAAGTAAATATTATATCAAAGTAGCTACAGTAAAATGTTTGTATCATCCATTTATGTTGTATTTATATCGAATATGCTGTTTTGAATGCCAAAAGTCAAAATAAATACTACTTCCTATTATACAGAAATCACATATGTATTAATATGATTCTACGAATATATCCTTCTACGAATTTTTCCTTTAACCAATTATTAAGAAACTTTGGTCAGTTGTTATTTGCACGACTGCAAAGATTTATGAACAACTAAACATTTTATCATTTGGATAATATGTTTAGTTGTTCGGTGGTTTTCTATGCTATAATATTCATCCGATTACTTGTAGCGCCGACTTACGATATAATACTTTTACTAATCATAATCTCAACGGAGACTAGCCATCAGCGCAGGACAGGATTATAGTGCCCAAGTGTAAGCGCAAGTACAGGTGCACTCTCTATTTCCTCACTCTCATAATACGATGGGATGGTAAGCTGACACGACCGGAGAGAGATCAGACACAGGACCAACGGCTTTACGTGCTTTCCGAGGCACGGGGGTGAGACACCGCCAACTTCCTGACTCCGGACATGGTTGTCTGAGAATTTCTTGACACAAAAACTCGATAATCGACTTTTTGGCCTGACCCGGGATTCGAACCCAGGACCTTATGATCAGCAGTTGCACTACTACAACCACTAGTCCAACAAGGCAAAAATACTTTTACTATACATGTAATGTCGTGTGTTGGCGATGTAAAAAAAATCCACTATCCAATAACATTTCCTAGTCGCTGTAAGAGGCGAACTAATGCAATTGCCAACACGTCTACCCAGCTTGGCGACAGGGAAAACCTAACTAACTAACTTATAGTCTGAAAAAGAAGCAACGAGAAGGATACTTACACACATATATGTTAGTATGTGAGTGTGATCGGTTATGGTACATTTAGTAAGTAATAACTGTATTATAAAGCGCGCGGGTGTAAGGGTATTGTTACTTTAGATTGGATAATCAAAGTAAAGAGTTATTACTTTAATACCTTGGGAGAGAAGTCTTAGTGTGAGACGCTACGTGCGTGGATACTTTGTCGGCCTGTCATCTCAGAAGTACCTCCCATCTCAGGAGTTTACGGCCGGGACGGCATAAGAAGACGCTGAACAGAGTAAATGGCGCAAACAATATACGAATCTTTGAGAAAGAACTACACTCTTGTGGCATTTGCAGTAGAGGTTACCGTTCCGTGGGATTCATTTTTCTCGCTCGGAGAATACGTTCAGTAAGAAAACGAAATATAACGCACTCTATTATAGTATTTTTGATAATATAATACATATTGTATATATTTATGATATTGTAATAAATGTAGAATTAAATATCTATTTAGTACTTTTTTTCAACAGGTTTCTTTAACGTATCAGTGGTGGTTTAATAGTTCGACACACGCGAGGCGTGAATTGAAAATTTCTCCTTCACACGTACAAAATGAAGCAAGTAAGCAATTTTTCAACAGGAAGTTAATATTTAAATATAGCGAATAATTTTAATAATTTTAAAAATCTAATGCTATTCTTCATTATATTAATTAATAACCACTTTTAACAACCACTTTTAGAATATACTCAAAGCCAAAAAATAAGATTGTTTATGAAAAATACAGTGTCAACATTTTTCATAACAAATTCAGAAACTATTATAAAAATGCTATGCACAACTAACCAGGAGAAGTAATAATAGCTTATCGCGACTGCTGTTATGTAGTCTTGGATTTGAACCCCGATCAGGTCGGGCCAAAATCAGTTTTCTGTGAAGAAATTCTCAGTAGCAGCTTGGAGTCTGAAACTTGCCTATGTGTCTCAGAAAGCACGTATATTCAATTGTTCTGCACCCGATCTTTCTCCGAACGGGTCGCATTTGCCGTTCCTTCGAAATGTGAAAGTAGGTACACCTGTGCTAACACACTCGTAAACTATAATCCTTGTGAGCGTAGATGACATTTCGACCTCGAGGACATTTTAAGATTTTGCAGCAACTTTGTTACTGACACCAATAAACTGCACCAATCTGTTACTAATTAATCTGCTAAAATTTTGCTATAAAACGATTTTCTAATCATGGCTAATTGAAATAGACACTCATGATGTATTCTGTCTGATATGTTCATTGAATATGCGCAGGGAAAATAAATTTATATTTCCCTTACATTTAAAATAATTAAGAGAAAGATCCTGTTCGCTAATTATAGCGTTTATGACGGTCTAGATAGTTTAAATCGTAAACAACCTAGAAGTAAACTATTTCCGCAAGCCACTTTGAAATTATATTAAGTTTAAATTGGTTTTGTAAAAAGTTGCATCATGTTGGTCTGAGGTTTATATGTTCTATGTTTATGGGAGATAAGAATGTGCCAAGTATGTGTCTGTAGTCATACTCGCCCACAATGTCATAAAAGGCGAAAAATAAGATAAAATTTTTTGTAATTATTGCGATGGGCTAGCCACCTATCACGTATTTCACAATTTTCCATCTAAACCCATTATTTATTTTATTTTGGTAAAACATGGTCCGAGTAGCTCTTTGCTCTTTGATCTTTGCTCTTTGGACTCGGCTTACCTCCTCTGGGATTACAGGTGCGACGTGTGGTGACTATGCAGCTATATTAGAATTATAGTTGTAGCACGAATAGGTCGGCTCGACCGGGGTAGGACCACGCTCTCATTAAATACCAGCGTAAAATAGCAGCTTAATGCTGCTGCGTTTCGTATGGTGAGTAGTATAGAGTCTCCATGCGCAATCAACCTCATTCTCACCTCACACATTTCACCTCAATCTTTATATTCACTACTTAAATGGTCACTATTTAAATTATCACTCACTGCGCTTGAATATTTTAATTAGCTACCAATTGTTCTTCCGTTGGTAGGTGCACGCTAGTTAATTTCTTATCGCGATAAAGAATCACTTCTATTCTAATATAATCTTTGCGCACCACGTACAACTTTATTGTTTAAAATGTAACACGGCACCATTTCATAGTATTCGCGGTTCGAATATTTTGTTGTGCTGTCATTGATAACGAAGCGACACTACCTCCGAAAAATTAAAAATAGCATACGTAAAAATTTAATACAGTATACTTATAAATTTTCACACCCTTCATCATCTTCTTCTCAATGGTCACGGTCAACATTATCTGCTGCGGCCAGCCGATCGGAGGTTGGTACGTGTCGATGTAACGGTTAAGGGAAAGGCGCGGGAAGACCCGCGACAAGGTACCTAAATTTGTAACGAGTGACCTTTACGAATGTGCGCGCGTAGTAAAATAGTAGGCGTGAGATTTTTATTAATAATCATCAGTTAAAAGCACGCATTACTACGCACTCTGAATTTGAAAGAAAAAATTTGTATTTTTATTTTTTTTTCACCATTTGCCTTCATAACTTATTTTGAACCTTCTCTGAAAATTTGGGCATACATTGCAAAATAACCTTGTATCATAATTAAAACTTCGAAATAATCGATTAAATAAATCACGCTGCTTTTATTATCTCCATTATATTAAAAACAAAATATTTGTGTCAGGTACGTTTGTCTATGTTGTGAACTCGTCAGCAGACTACGGCCCAGCCGTACAGTGTGTTGCGTTCAACTTAGTGGGATCACAGACACTTCCCTGCGTGTATCACATTTTACCAGCAGGTATGGTTATATAATTTATAATTTAATTTATCCAATTATACCTATAATATATTAATCCAATTATACCTTTCATTGAAATAATGGGTTTATTGGTGCATATTGGCTACGTTTGCCTATAGGCAGCAAAATTCCGAGAAATGTTCGTTTTCTGGGCACACATCTAAGTAACACGTGTGGTTGCTTGTGCACGCTTCTAAATAATCGCCTATTTATTTGTGCCTAAACATCAACTGGAGTAAAGAAGGTGTTCTTGTATGACAGAGGCTGGGTTTACCAACGGTCCATACCATTTGTTTTTCATAGTTTTTTATTACGCACATTTTAAAGATTTTATTTTCCTAAATATCCATACTTGACAGACTGATGAATAGCTGCGCAATTATTGTGCAGATGATGGTTGAGTTAGTCAATATTACTCAACCCTAAACCAATGTGAAGAAAGCCATTTAAGTCAGCCTACTCTCAACAGAATGGAGCTCCGAATAAATCGATTTTTTCAGAAGTTTAGGATTACTATTTACTTTTTAATTGCTTCTTAGGACTCCTATTAAAACCGTAACTAATGCGAATCGAATGGTGATTCATATTGGAATTATCAAATCATCAGTTTTTAGCTGCTTGCCGCTAGGATGATATAGTTTTAATAAGTTTGTCCGATTCTATGTTGTAAAAATTAAGTGGTGAATTTTTAATTTATGAAAAATTATATCTGGATAAAAATATGCAATTGTGTCTAACAGCGCTGATAATGGTTGATTGGTAATTTGGTCGCGTTTCTTAATTCGGGTTGTTTTTCGGGGTTATAAAATAAGTATCGAAACATTTTTAAATCGAAGATCAAAACAATTTAGAAAAAGTTTTGCTGATTTTGCGTTTAATTTAAAAAGATAATAGACAATTTGCCTTTCATTATATAAATTTACAAGGTGTGTGTGTGTGTGTGTGTGTGTGTGTGTGTGTGTGTGTGTGTGTGTGTGTGTGTGTGTGTGTGTGTGTGTGGAGCAAATAATATTTTTATAATCAATAAATATATTTTACAAATGTGAAACTGACCAAATTACGGGATGTATATAACAAAATAATAAATTGAAACATCAGGCTAATAATATGGAGACGAGAGAAGGATTATTTGCAACGCACAAATCCCCCGTAAGCATACTTAAGCATAATCTGTCACCATACTTCCCGGAAAACTCCCATATTTCATCATCCTTTAAATAATGTTTTTCTCTTCGGTAAACGGGTTTACTGTTAATAATGATATAAATTGTGCTTATTTTTTATCCATCTATTACAGACTATAAAAGTCCACTGCTGTACATAGGCCTCTTCCATAGTGATTGTCACAGGATAGATGCTATAGTTGCTACACTGAGCTGGCAAGTTGTCAACCAGAATTTTTTATAATTTGGAGTTGTTATCAGGAATATGCTGTTGCCCGTCTCCTGTTTCAGTTTCCTTCTGCTGCCTTATACGACACCATGATATGGGTTAATGAAATATTCTAACGCAAAGCTACAAACAAATATCTATATTTTATTTATTTATACCTATTAAACAATCATACTTAATAATTTTTTCTCCGTGAAAAAGATGACAGTAACAATCGAGATATTCATATATGATCCACAGGACAGTGAAATGGTAAAAATGTTAGTATTAGGAGTACTTCGTGTTCAGCAGGTTCAAACCGTTTTTTGCAGTCAGTACAAATAATTTTTTGCAGTCAGTACCTTAATCATTAGACTACTGCCGCATGTAAAGTTATGATTAGTTTCCTATTTTATATAACATGTCCAGTAAAAGTGACGAGAAGCTTAAAAGATGCGAGGTGTTTGAAGCACCATGCTTCAATTGTAGTAAAGTCTCCTGCTAACTATGGGGATTAGAGTAAATCCATCTATATTAGATTTGATGTGCTTGATTTATTCCACCATTGTGTTCATACATATGCTGTGTAGTGGCGACGTAAGGGTATCCATTACCCTATATGATCCCGTGGGTGGCGTAAGAAGCGGGTACTACTGAAACAGCAGATATCTTAAGATTTAAAAACTGCGGTTGTCAACCCACCAAGAATGGCAACTATGGCAAATATCTCCTCTATGACGCAGTCTATGGTAGGTTTGTTCTTTAGCAGACTTGGCTGTAAATTGATTGAATTGAAGTCGTGAATTATACTTTGGATTTGTAATATTTGATTTTTGTACTTTGTAAATTTTATACTAAATTCAAATACATACTTATAAACTATAAGAAACTGCATAGTTATATATCATAAATAGTAGAGTAATACTATACAAGACCTTGTTAAATAATTTTATAAAACAAAACTACTAGAAGAGTACTTCATAAAAGCACTTTTGACCTACATTGCTTAACTCGATCGGAACCATTCGTTTGAATATGTATATGATATTTTCTCTTATTCCACAATACGAACGCTTTTATCTTGGTTATTTGAAAATATGAAATGGCTTCAGTCTTAATGCGGTTGTTCTATCTGTTTAGAAAAGCCGTCAGCAGTCAGGAATTGTGATATCACAAATGTGACGTATGATTCCCTCACACTAAACTGTACACCAGGTCATGACGGCGGCGTCCGCCAAACGCTTTTTCTGGAGGTGAGTGAACTTTCATACACATGAAAATACGGAATATTTATGTTGTTTTTAAAAGAGTGTGCATTTCTTGGAATTCAATAATATTTGTGTTAAACTATTTTTGGGTGATAATCATCTAATTTGACCACGCTGCAACTATATTATGGTTGTAGCGCCAATGGGTCGGCTCGACCTTTGAAGGACAACGTCTCACAGAATGTCAGTGTAAAATAGCAGCTTAATACTGCTGTGTTTCGTATGGTGACTGTAGATCCGGAGACCCTTTTCCACTGGAAATGAGGCATTCCATCTTAGTCCTCAAGGGTGACAACGCATCTGCATTTGGTTCTTAATCGAGGATTAAGCTGCTAATTTACCCTAGAATAATGTGAGAGCGTTGTTTATTCTCGATTGAGGCGATCCATCGTGTCATAACCTTATACGGCTGCAGCGTGGTTCTACCACGTCTAAAACCAACAAAAAAGATAGACGCAGCGCTGCGTACATTTCAAGTGATGCCGACACCATGCTCAACTTCTTGACACGCACACACGCACACGTGTTTCTTCTTTCTTTCTTTATTAGCCTGTAATAATTTACTGTTTGTTGAACGCAGAACACGCACTACCTATAACGATGTTTTGTTTGTAAGCTGTTGGTCTTACAATAAATTTAACATTTTACTGTTGAACGCAGAACACGCACTATCTATAACGATGTTTTGTTTGTAAGCTCTTGGTCTTACAATAAGTTTAACAATTTACTGTTGAACGCAGAACACGCACTACCTATAACGATGTTTTGTTTGTAAGCTGTTGGTCTTACAATAAGTTTAACAATTTACTGTTGAACGCAGAACACGCACTACCTATAACGATGTTTTGTTTGTAAGCTGTTGGTCTTACAATAAGTTTAACAATTTACTGTTGAACGCAGAACACGCACTACCTATAACGATGTTTTGTTTGTAAGCTCTTGGTCTTACAATAAGTTTAACAATTTACTGTTGAACGCAGAACACGCATACCTATAACGATGTTTTGTTTGTAAGGTCTTGGTCTTACAATAAGTTTAACAATTTACTGTTGAACGCAGAACACGCACTACCTATAACGATGCTTTGTTTGTAAGCTCTTGGTCTTACAATAAGTTTAACAATTTACTGTTGAACGCGGAACACGCACCACCTATAACGATGTTTTGTTTGTAAGCTCTTGGTCTTACAATAAGTTTAACAATTTACTGTCGAACGCAGAACACGCACTACCTATAACGATGTTTTGTTTGTAAGCTCTTGGTATTACAATAAGTTTAACAATTTACTGTTGAACGCAGAACACGCACTACCTATAACGATGTTTTGTTTGTAAGCTCTTGGTCTTACAATTAGTTACTACTATTGATAAAGTAATACAGATAGTAAATATTTTCTCATTATAAGTGTTCAAGATTTAAATACATTCTGAGTTCCCACCGAGTGATATTATATACATTTAAGTACATAAACTATGACAGTGTATGTATCGTGAAATTTTTACGACGATAGCAAGGAACTGGATATTTAGAATCTAAGACAGATTCAGTTTAGACTTTACATTGCAAGCTCGCGTCATGAGTTCGAATCCGCTATTCGACTACTGTGGTTTTTAGTATAACTTTTGACATAAGTGTCTGTAGTAGAAAGTATATTAATCACACCCTTAGTCAATAAGATACTGAGGCCTTCTAACCGGTTCCATCGATTCATTACAGCCTTTCATAAGCCCACTGCTGAACACAGGCCTCTTCTATAGATACGGGGGACACTTGTCATACTTGCCACGCTGAACAAGCTGTTTAGCAACCGTAATTTTTTTGATAATTTTGTGTTGTTAGCAAGAAGTTAACGGAAGGTTACTTGGGGTTCCCGATATAATACGTTAAATTTTCCTTCAAACGCTAATCCCGCTAGCATGGTGCACCTTAGTGACTGACGAACGATAGAAATCAAAAAATGCTAAACATAAATTTCACAGACTCGTGAAAAATAGGTATAAGTATTGCCAATGCGAAGACCTTTAACTTGTTTCCGCAGCGCGGTTAGTATGGATAGATCTTCCAGAAAATAATCTCTCTAAAATTAGAGGGGGGCCTGTGGCCAGCAATGACACATATACAGGTGCAATTTACTTTTAAATATTTTCACGGTAAAGGTAATGAGGACGATAATAGATTTTTAAAATGAATACGCAAGCGGTGTTTGTAGCAAATCGAAGTGATAAAATCCACGCGAAATAAACATTTTTTTTTCAAATTTTTATCCGATATTAAAATGTGTTTTGAATATACTAGGTGGTAGCACTTCTATTTCTAGGAGTCTTTCTCGGTAGGTACTAACCTTTTAACTACTTCTTTTGTGTTTTGGCCTGAAGGATATAGAGAGCCAGTACAATAACAGGCTATTTAACTCCAGATGACAACAACATTTAACTTTTTTTAAACTTGGCTGCAGGTATCTCTGGACTGCAGTGGTCATTTACCATCAGGTGGACTGTGAGTTCACCGATAGCAAGACGTTGATGATAAGGTTTTTTGTTTATAGAATAAGGGTGACATTGAACACATAGTCTTTTTGATAGTAAGTGGGTGCTGTGGTGTGGTGCTGTACGATATCTAGCCTCGATTTAGAATAAAAATAGAGATGCGTTGTCCCCAATGAAGACGAAGACGGAATGCTACGTTTCTATTTACAAGAGTCTCCAGTTCTCTCCATACGCTATACAAAACACAGCAGAATTATGCTGCTGTTTTACGCTGGTATTCTGTGAGAGTGTGACTCTTCCCTGATCGAGTTGAGCATAATATAGCCGCAGTGCGGCTTTTCCACGTATATTCAAAATTCAAAATCATAAACTTTATTTTTACATAAAAATATTATAATAAATATTTCATTAAATACATAGGCTCTCAGACTAGTGTAAAATTGTGTTCATTACCATGTGTTATAAATAACTTGTGATTGAAAATATATTATGCTAAATAAAGTGCATAAAATTGTATCATTCATTGTGCAATAAGAGAGAGAGAGAGAGAGAGCGAGAGAGGGAGAACTTGCTATCTCTCTCTCAAAACAACCGGTACAGAATTTTTATTTATTATTTTTAGCGCAAGTGCCCGTCAAAGTAGAATTAACGATGTTACTAATAACAGTTCTGGCGGCGGTAGTGATAATTACAGCCATGGCGACGGTGTCCGCCGCAGTGTGCTACTGCAAGTATTGTAATAACAGGGAAGGTGAGTTTAAGAGACCTTGTTATTAAGATTTATCGAAGCGTTCTGGGATTCGGATTGTTAATAAAAATGACTAACTACACTTATGCTTTTGAAGAAAGTAAATGACATCTCACGATCGTTATACGTTCGACTGACAATATTTACTACTAAACTGCCCTGACTTCCCCCGGGTATGATCTAATTATAATCTTATCTGACCTATTTAGATTTAGCAAAATTAAATTTGAAATAAAAAATATCTCATACATTTTTGGCAAAAATATAGCCTAAATCACTTCTGTCATTACTTTCTATTTTTTTTTTCAGACAGTGTTAGTCAATTTCAAGTAAATGTTGAAAAGCATATTGAGTAACTCTAGGTACTCACCTATAATTTAAGTACATATATACTGTTATAACCAAATGTCATAACAGTATATATAATATGTCATCCCCCCTGCATGAATAAATCTTTTTCTGCTTTCACATTTTTTTCGTTCGCTTGCGGACATATACACTACATGCCCAACATAACGCCCTCAACTACATATTAAACGTACTGAGTCCCTTTTTCCTTAAAATAAGAAGTAGAAGAAGGAGAAGTGGTAACTACTAAAGTGTATCCGATTTTCGAAAACTATGGTGTTTTTTCAGATACAAACGAGAAAGCTAAAACGCCTCAAGAAGAGAGTTCAAACATGTTGCTTACAGGTGAGAAAAAGACTGACAGTGCTGATAGTTTAGGTATGTATATCTACATTTTAATTATTTATTAGATATAGTTTCTTTACCGCTTAATATTATTTATTGATATTTTTATTTTCAGATAAGAATCCTGATATTGTACCTTTAAACACGAAACTAAGTGATACTTGTTTTAACAAATTTTCAAACAACAGACAACAGTTCTGTCAGACCTTTAATATCTACAACTAATGTAGATGAATTTGAAATACCTAATCGTTTCAATGCACATTACAATCATACGATGAACAGTACTTACCAGTATGAATATCCACGGAGATATAGGATACCAAATATTCAACCAAGTTTGGCGCCGATGCCAAACATTGGAACGAATGTATATAGGCAGCCATTTCATAATGTTTATGAGGATTGGTTAAGATATAAAAACACGTTACCTTTAGACAGTAGCCAGTGGTAAGTAATTAAGTATTTTATAAGAAATAATATTTGCATTTAACGTATACTGTTGCAGGAATGTGTTTCATTCTCTAATTGTTTAAGGTTTTTTTTAATGACTGCAAAGTTACTATATTTTATATTTTATTAGAGATATTATAATTTGAGTTAAAACTAATTGGAATCGTTATACATAAAACTTACATATTATTTATATAGTTATACAACGTAGTGTTAGAAACTTGGTGATGCTACCAAAATAGCATTATCCTATGATAATTAATTTAATAAAATTAGTTTTTATTATTTCAATCTCGATTCGAATTACCTTTGTTTTTATATTTTGAAATATTGACATTTGTTCCAAGCGACAAAAAAATCAAAAGGAAAAAACACAACGTAGTGTCGACTGCTGCTGTGTTTCGAATGGTGAATGACGTCAGTTGACCGTCGTTACTGTTGATGAGACATTTCTTCTTAATCCGCATGGCTGATAATATACCTTTATTTTGATTCTAAATCAAGAATAGATGAAGGTCTATAGACTAAAGCATCAGCTTATCTTTTAGTATACAATGTACCCTTTGTCACCCTTACTTCTGTAGAAAAAAGACGATAGAAGAAAGGTGTCTATGGACTACCGCCTACCACCAGACAGTTTGTGTGTTACCATTACATTTATGTATCTAACATGAATGTTATTAAGATTTAATATCGACTATAAGTTGTGTCGTTAGTCGTAGCTAACTACTTACTTCAATTTTCATTGTAGCTACCATTAGAACAACTAAGACCGCCAGAGGAATATATCTCTCCGCCACCTCCGGTACTCAGCGACTTATGTCGGAATCCAAATTTCCAGTGCCATTTGCAGGAATCCCATTTACGAGAAATGGAACAAAGACATCCCTCAAATGAAACTAATCCGACTTTGAGTCAAAATCTGAAAATGTCTGATTTACCCTCTGTGAGAATACATTCAGAAAGTAATAGTGCATATTTTAATAAGTTCGATGTTGCAACAAACACCATACCCCGTATGAAAGGTACTAATAGTAAGTATTAACTTTTTATTTATAACGTATTTATATTCCAAATTTATTCATTAGAACCTATCAATAGTCCATTACCGATATATTAGTGGTTTTATCCTATACCCTTAAACGAGCAATACTTGTATATATATATATTATTCATCAGTACGTAATTTGTATCTTAATGTAATTTCAAAAAAAAACCTAGCAAAGCTCGGTCATCCGAGTACGTTTATTTATTGTATATACATACATACTTTCATTAATTATCATATTATTTATATCATACCTGTCTGCGCTTACATTACTTCAAATAGGCTTACTGACTGGCTACATTACATTTGTCCAATAACGCACTTTTCGCAAAACGGCCCCTTGATGGAGTGTCCAATTTGCACAAATAATACATTATTTAATTATTCAGTTATATCTTTACTAGTTAGTTTTAATAGATAGAATTTTTAATCGCAGAGAGTTCACAAAAATAGCAATATAATACAAATTATAATTCTCGTTATTATTTCAAAACTCAAATTATCCGTTTTATTTTACGATATAAGTAATAGCTACGGAATTTCTCTCAAATTCCACTTAAAAACCGTAAAATTAATGACGGTAGACTGCAAATGGAAACAACATGGCCGGTTTTGGCGAAAAGAATATTAAAACCATCACCAATAATTTTGCAATCAAGCGTCAAGTTTTCTGCCAATTTGCGAATGGGAAGATGATGTAATGAGCATGTGAAGCATTTTTCGAAAATAAAAACAGAATACATACATATATGTATGATAAAAGATGATGCTTGTATATATGAAATCGTTTTACACAAAATCTATTTGATCGATATTATATATGTATTTTACCACGGAGAGGGTTTATATTTAAAAAAATGATTTTTTAGATTATATTTGCCTTTTTTCAATCAAGCGCGGTAATTAAATTAAATTGCATGCGTTAAATTAAAAAAAGTTGCTGAACTCCACCTATGATATTAACTGGCAGGACACAACGTCTGCGGGGTTCAGTTAGTATTTATTTACTAAAAAGCTGTAGTATGTAGGCCACGCGTTATATGCGACCGCTCTGCGTATCGCCCACGATACAACCGATATTGGGCTGCCGCACGCCCGCCTGAGCGCTTGCTCAGCGCACGTTTCCCGCGCTTATCGTTGAAATGCCGAAACCACGTAATTATTGTGCAGACGATGGGTGTCAAAGTCAAAAAACAAATGAAAAATTTGTTTTTTGACTAATATTATTAACTTATGATTATAATAAGTGTAGAAAAAAACATAACTGCACTAGCTTCAATGCTTTTTTACAGGAGAAACCTAATGTTGACGAAACAACACTGTATACTCATTTCAAAGCCTTTAATACAGATTCATCTTTTTATATTGGCCTAAAAGTACCACCAGAAATGAAAAAAAAAACGAACGGGTTCGCTCGACCGGTGAAAAGTGAAAAATTATTGCTCAATACGGATGTTTTGTATAGTGAGTATAAACAGCTGTAGACCCATTTTACTGCAGAAAAATTCTTTCTTCTTCTCTCTCTCTCTCTCTTCAAGGTAAGACACAGCTATATATGGGTAACAATTCCTACTTACCATGAGGTGGAGTTATTATCGGTGTTTATCTACATAACCATAATTCTTGATAAAGATATCCACAGTAGAAGCAGAATAACCAACATAGCCTAACGGATCAGTAAGTTAAAATGACAATGAGCCGGACATACTAAAATCCGCTGGAGTAAAAAGGTTCTTGAGTGGCAGCCTTGTATTAATAAACGAAGTGCCGGCCATCAGCGAGTGAAGACTAAGTAAGACATGTGGAAAGTCAATAAACGCAAGTGGCTCAGGATTTGAGGAGCCCTATGTTCAACAGTGACCTTGTAGAGGGCTCACTTCTCTTCTTAATTCCCTAAAGAGGTCACTACGCACATTTTTAATTTTGCTTTTCTTTAAAAATGTGAATCTAATCACTTTAGCATTTGTGAGATTTCACGTACGAGCATACGTATTAAATTGATAAAATATTACCGGATAAAATATTTGTTTCAATATTTGCTACAATTTGTGTATTATTTTAAATTGTTGCATTCTAAATTGATATCATAAATAACGTTTAAGTGATACTAAAAGCAATTAACTTAAGTTTAACTGGCATACTTATACCACATAAGCGCTTAATAACTATTTTAATAATAACTAAGTGTTGTATTAGTATGTTCGAACACAGTAATGTTTAATTGCTTTTGTCTGTTTCTCTTAATTCATATTAGTTTGAAGCTTTATTTTCTGGATAACATTGCTAAAACTACTCAGTGAAACATAAATTAAATGTAACTTATATTTGATTTATATTCCCTTACTATACCTTCGTCTTCAACCCACATATGTCTACTGTTGGACGTGGACTTCTTCAATTGTGGCGAGGATTTTATTTAATTGCAATGTTTAGTAAAACGGTAGATTAGCTTTATATGAAACTAATTTTACGAATGTTTTTTGTTATTAATTTTTTTTAATTCCCGTTGTTTCGGATGCTTTGTAACACACAGTATCGTGGGTGGGACTAAGGTGTTTGACGTCTCGATGTTTTCTCAAAAGACACGGAATGAAATGGGTTGATATATTTTCTTACGCCGCCACCATATGACATAAAATATATCTGAATATAATCTAAATTGAAAATTAAAATAAAAAACTGAAACAAATAAGGCTGATAATCCTCATTTTAAGTTAAAACTTACCAAAATTGGTTTACCCGTTTAAGACCTACGGTGCACAGACAGACACACGCACACACAGCAGTCAAACTTATAATACTCTTTTTTTCGTATAGGGTTAAAACTATTATTTTTAGTTAAGTCTATTATATATTTTAATGGGACTTGTTTTTGTGAATGCGCTACTGGGCAAAGTAGTGCTATCCCTGCCTGGAGAAGAAAGTTCGAGGACCGCTTTGCAAAGGAGAGAGCCCTCATTGGCAGACTGATAAACTTCAGGTCCGGCAATAATTGGCCGAGAATTGTGCGCACCAACAGAATGACGTTTGCGGGGACGAATATCAGTTTCCTCCAGCCGCATATAACGCAAGAACTGACAGAGCACATAGACGACTTTCAACGAGCAGGGAATCGCTGCTTTATGAAGCGAATTAGGCGATATAACGAGAGGTCAACACATTAAACCAGAATCGCCCCTTTAAGAGTAATCAGAAGAGGCTCTATAAGTAATTGGAGCGACCAATGGGGCGTGGAATGGGTTCAACACCGAAGCATTCTGGCGCGGCGTATGATCAGAGCCCGTTAATAACAAGGCAAGGGCCTTTGGACTGAAGATGTGGTGAGTCAGTGTGCGAGTATTACGCCCATGTACAATGTCATTATGATGACAGATGTCGTAGCTTGGGTGATCAGTAGAGTCCCAAAACTGGAAAAGTCCGGGACTCGACGGGCTGAATCACTACTGGCATAAGGAGTTTGTGGCGTTATGTCACGTTATGCTCGCCCGTCAGTTTCAAGAGACTCTGTACCAGCAGTCGCTGTCGAGCCTCTTCAATACAGGGATCACTCATGTGGGTCCTAAGGACCAGGATACCACAGACTCGATTACATAATACCCCATAACTTGTCTACTCATCATATATAAGACACTAACATCCATTTTGAGCGCGAGAGTCACTTCATCTAGATTCAAATCAAAAAATGTCCCGCGTTCTAAATGGATGTCGGAGCGGTGGTCGTGGA